GCTTTCCTTAAGAAAATTGAATACAAAAGAAAAAATATTTTAATCATACATGCATATAAAATTGGCAACACTTCCTGTAGTAAAATTCCCTCCACTGAGCATTTTTTAGGACAGTATTTAATAAGAAAAATCTGTTCTTATCCCCTAGAAACTAGAAAGCTAGTAATTATTCAAATACAATTAAAAGCATGAGAAAATATTTAACAATAGAAATAATTGAGTAAGGAGCAAAATTTGATAAGAAAATTCTCTTTATCCTCACATGCCATAAAGTTTAAAGTACTTCACTTTTAAATTATTTTCTAAGAGCAAAAAAAGGAAAAATAGAGGAGATACTAAAATAATTTTGGAAGGAAAGGGATTTGGTTTTTTTATGTTTCAATGAGAAAAAGAAATTCTGCATCTGTATTAATAACTACTAGTCTTCCTGGTGTGCCTTGTAGGCTGGCTAAGCAAACTACGCATCAGTTAAAGTGAAAACCAAAGAGGAGGTTGACCTAACCAAAGCACGCATGATTGCGTTTGAGAACATTCTAGGGAAATTTTTTAAGCTCCTAGAGCCTGGATTCTGTCTCAGACCAACTGAAAGTTGAAAGTTAGGTAGTGAGTGCTATTATATTTCAAAAGCTTTTCAGGTGATCCTATTCAATTGATCATACCCTTGCTTATTTGGATGTCCTCCCCTCCACCACCACCAAATTCCATTGTGTTAAAAGTTTGGATTCCAGTTTCGCACTATTGAGAGATGTTATGCTACACGTATGATGTGTCCCCCAAAACCTCATGTGTGACACAATATAAAACTTTCAGAGGTAAAATGGTTGGGTTATGATAGTGTTAACCTAATCAATGTGTTAATCCACTTGAATGGACTAACTCAGTGGTAACTGTAGACAGGTTTGTTATGGCTGGAGGAGATGGGTATTTGGAGGTGTGCCTTTGGAGTCTATGTTTGACCCTGGTTAGCCAACCCTAGCGACTTTCTGCTTCCTGGTGGCCATGTTCTGAGCTGCTTTCCTTCTCTACCATAATGTTCTGCCTCTCCTCAGGCCCAGAGCAACAGAGTTGGCCGTCTGTGGACTGAGGTGGGGACTTGTGAAACCATGATGCCAAATAAACTTTTCCCTCTCTAAAATTGTTCTTGTCAGGTTGTTTGGTCACTGTGGTTTAAAAAAAAAAAAACTGACTAAAACAGGAGCTGATAGAAACTTTCAGAGGTAGGGCCTATGGAAAGTCTTAGGTTACTGAGGACATACCCTCAAATGGGATGGTGGAATCCTCATCTCCTCCTCTTCATCTCTGTTTTTTGCATTTCAGTCATGAGGCAAATATTTGCTGCACCGCAAGCTTCCCAGCACAATGTGCTGCCGCTATAGGCCCAAGGCAGGAAAGGCATTGTTCATGGACTAGAACATTTAAACTTGTGTCTCTCATAAGTTGATTTCCTCAGATATATGTTAAGTATTGGAGAATTGACTAACATTGTCCTCTCTTAAAAACTAGCAGAACATCTAAGACAGCTTAGACCTCTTCCACCATGCCCAGAATATTAGCAAGACAGTCCAAATTTGCATGAATTTAGCAACTTTGCAGAAATATCAGAGGAAAGATAGAGAATTATGATGATCTTAAGAGGTCTAAACTTCATTTATTTCCAACAAATAACTAAGCAAAAGAGAGAACTCTACTACTTAGGTGAAATATTTAGCAAGCACATGTGGGCCCAACCAGAAAAAACTGCATGAATTCCGCAAATCTCTCCAGAGAGTAGAAATTTTCTGGGCTTCCTAAACCCTTGAATACCTCAGAAATACCTAGCACAATCTCCTTCCAAAAACAGAAATCTGTGCTAATTTGGGGAAAAACTCTGTTGGGACTAGAATCACAATTGAACAGATCATGAACACTGGAAATTGAGTCATTAAATGTAAAATGTGCTAAGAAGGTAGATCTCATATCTGAGGATATATCTACACAGAGAGGTCATATTTTTAATGCATTGTGGTAACAGCAGAGCAGGCAATAAAACCGAGAAAGCTACTTTGAACCACCTCATTCCCTACACAGTAATCTGCTCCTATACAGGAAAACCCATCTCATTGAACACAAAAGAAAGAAAATATCTGCTACACAACCCCATGACAGTACCTCCAAAGAACAAAAGGAAAAAATCTTGATTAATGTGCTAATAGATAATGAAATAACAGTATATGTAAAGTAGAAAAGAAAAAAAACTATGGCATAATATTAAATGAGATAAGTAAGTGAAGAAAGGGGTAGAAGTTATGAAATTAAGGCATTAAACTACAAATAGAAAAGATAAGGCAAAAAGAACTTGAACAGTAGACAGGTTGTCAAGAGAGGTGATGAAACTCAGAAGGTATTTAAAGGGGGAAAAAAAAGAATAAGGTCATTTCTCAAGTAATCTTTTAAAGTTAAGAAAGGCCTAAATGGGATTTAAACATGTGACAAGTTGTTCCTCTTCTATCAAAAATAAACTAGAAGATGGTCAGTAAATAGCTTGAGTTAGCTTTGGGGCTAGGAATAGAACTCTTCAGTTTCTATTTTAAATAAGACATTTTCTTTTCTACAGTTGGAATTCATAAAATGCACTGGAAACACCTCAAGGCAATAATAATAAAATTAAATAATAACTATGATTAAAATATTCTACATTTTCCCCATGTAATGTAGAATGAGCTCCTATCACATAACTGAGCTACATGGGTTTTGTTTTGTTGTTGTTGTTGTTGTTGTTGTTTGTTGGTTGGTTTTTATTTTTTTATTGATCTTTTTAAATAAATGACAGTAGAATACATTATAATTCTTGTTATACATATAGAGCACAATTTTTCATATCTCTAGTTGTATATAAAGTATGTTCACACCAATTTGTGTCTTCATACATGTACTTTGGGTAATGAAGTCCATCACATTCCACCATCTTTGCTAACCCCGTGCCCTCTCCCTTCCCTTCCCATCCCTCTGGCCTATCTAGAGTTTGTCTATTCCTCCCATGCTCCCTCTCCCTATATCACTATGAATCAGCCTCCTTTTATCAGAGAAAACATTCAGCATTTATTTTGGGGGGATTGGCTAACTTCACTTAGTATTATCTCCTCCACCTGCATCCATTTACCTGCAAATCCCATGATTTTATTCTCATTTATGGCTGAGTAATATTCCATTGTGTATATATGCCACATTTTTTAATCAATTCATCTATTAAAGAGCATCTAGGTTGGTTCCACAGTTTAGCTATTGTGAATTGTGCTGCTATAAACATTGATGTGGCTGTGTCCCTGTCCCTGTGTCCCTGTGTCCCTGTTTTTAAGTCCTTTGCATATAGACCGAGGAGAGGGATAACTGGGTCAAATGGTGGTTCCATTCCCAGTTTTTCACGGAATCTCCATACTGTTTTCCATATTGGCTGCACCAATTTGCAGTCCCACCAGCAATGTATGAGTGTGCCTTTTTCCCCACATCCTCTTCACCACTTATTGTTGTTTGTCTTCATAGCTGCCACTCTGACTGGAGTGAGATGATATCTTAGAGTAATTTTGATTTGCATTTCTCTAATTGCTAGAGATGATGAACATTTTTTCATACATTGTATGATTGATTGTATATGCTCTTCTGATAAATGTCTCTTCAGGACCTTGGTCAATTTGTTGATTGGGTTATTTTGTTTTTTTGGTGATAAGCTTTTTGAGTTCTTTATATATTCTAGAGATTAGTGCTCTATCTGATGTGTGAGGGGTAAAAATTTGCTCCCAGGATGTAGGCTTTCTGTTCACCTCACAGATTGATTCTGTTGCTGAGAAGAAACTTTTTAGTTTGAGTCCATCTATTTATTGATTTTTTGGTTTTAATTTTTGTGCTATAGGAGTCTTATTAAGCAAGTTGGGGCCTAATCCTACATGATGAAGATTAGGGCCTATTTTTTTCTTCTATTAGACATGGAGTCTCTGGTTTAATTCCTAGGTCCTTGATCCACTTTGAGTTGAGTTTTGTGCATGGTGAAAGATAGGGATTTAATTTCATTTTGTTGCATATGGATTTCAACTTTTCCCAGCATCATTTGTTGAAGAGGCTATCTTTCTCCAGTGCATGTTTTTGGCTCCTTTGTCTAATATAAGATAATTGTAATTTTGTGGGTTAGTCTCTGTGTCCTCTCTTCTGTAGAGCTATATGTTTTATATGCATCATTACTTACTCCTCACAGTAACTCCATGAAACTGATTATTTATACTCAGTAGGAGCAAAAAGAGTCTTCATAAATATAATGAAGTTTGCATTTATTGATCCTATTTGTTGGTTTTTACATCACTCTAAAATATTTGGACATATTTTTGTGACATTTAGTAGGATATTATAAGAATCTTCTGACCTAAAACATGGCCTATGTCATATATACACAAATTTTATTTTAGAGAGTCCTTCAAAGTAGCTGACAATAAGGTAAAAAGCCAGACTTGAGTATCTGCTGACAGGAGAGATGCACTATTTGTATTAAAAGAGTGACACAAAGAAAATGAATGGGGATTTTATATATGAACCCTAAATCAAAAGTCACAAGGACAGAGCCTCTAAACTGAAGGCAATGACTTGCAATTGAGTTGTTTCTTGGGGGCACCCAGGCAGTGTGCTGCAGGCTTTGTAGACAAAGAAATTTATCTATCTAAATGTGGTTAATGAATTACTAATGGAAGTCCAGTTAGGCCCAGCAGGCAAAAAATAAATAAAATTGGAGGACAACAGGTAACATGAACACAGCAGTTGATGGTTAAGGTGCCTGAGGACCAGCAGCAAGGCACTGTCCAGGAACATGTTAGGAATGCAGAGTTTCAGGTCCTACCATAAGGGAACAAATAGATGAGGATGGTTGTATTATGGAACAGACAGATGAGAATGGTGGGAACATGAGGTTAAGAAAATAATTCTATAAAATGGACCCATGTGCCGACCCCCACAAGCTTTTTTTACAAGAAGCAATTTACCTGCAGTCCTGCCTGGTCAAGATGGAAAGGATATGTCACATTCCTTAGAAAACTATCTGTTAACTGCAGGAGAAGTGCAGGCCCAAGATAATATTATGTTGATGGGAGGAACCCAGGAGATTTTCATGACCAGATCCTGAAACTCTAGGAGATAAGGATAGTTCCTCCTAAGTATGAAATCTGTAAGAATGCATGGTTAAGAATCCAATTACAACTGGTCAGCATGGGCCAAAGTGACCTAGAGTTGTCATGACAATGGGGAGGGGACATTCTGATGTCACCCTGCTGTCAGTCAAAAGTCAAGAGGCAGACCTGGTCAGGGCTTTCTGGAAACTTCCCTGGGACCCCAATAAAACTGGAGTGCAGAAAAATCACGTTGTCATTCTCCTCTCTGAGAGAACCCACTCTCTCCCTTGGAGTATCCCCTTCCCCTTTCCTATCCCTTCAGCAAACTCATTCCTATTACTCTGAGCAACATGTTTGAAATATTTCTGACTTGGTCACAGAACTGGAATTTGAAGAGAGAGTCTTCACACTGCCTCAGTTTCCTGGAAGGCCCCAGCTCTGTTAACAGTGGGAACATGAGGTTAAGAGAATAATTCTACAAAATGAACTCACTGTACTGACTCCCCACATACTTTCCTTGCCAAGAAGCAATCTGCCTGTAGCCCTGCCTGGACTGAGGGAACAGGATATGTCACATTCCTCAACAAACTGAGGCCGGAGGTGAAGGTCTGGTAGTCAGTGTAGGTAATGAATGTTGGGGTCTAGAGAAGATGATGACGGGTTATCACACTTCCCAGCTCAATGGTTGGCTAAGAGCTAACCTCTGATATCACACAAGGAGTGGCTAGTGATAGCCCCCTGTGCTCCTGCTCCATCCTGCCCTTAAGCATATAGATGGAGATTAAAAGGAGAGGTTCTAAAATCTGTAAAAGAAGAAAAGAGCAAGATACACCCACTCCAGGAGACTCCCAGATCTGGGGCTCCTTCTCTTTGGAGAAGTCTGTTGATATCTCTTTTCTTAAATAAAAACTTGTTTTTCGGGGCTGGGGATGTGGCTCAAGTGGTAGCGCGCTCTCCTGGCATGCGTTCGGCCCGGGTTCGATCCTCAGCACCACATACCAACAAAGATGTTGTGTCCGCCAAATACTAAAAAATAAATATTAAAAAATTCTCTCTCTCTCTCCCTCTCTCTCCCTCTCTCTTTAAAAAAATGAAAATTAAAAATTAAAAAAAAATAAAAACTTGTTTTCTATGCTTGCCTCCCCATTTTTCAGGTATTTAACTCCAGGAGGACAAGGATAGTGATACCACTATCACTACCCCACTTCTACTAAAATCAACTCTGAGTTCTAACACAATCCTCAGGTGACTGAGTTGTAGATGAAATTTTCGGAAACCCTGTTTTAAAGGATATACATGGTTGTTTTAGTTAGCCTTTTCATCACTGTAACCAAAAGATCTAACAAGGTGAACATAAAGGAGGAAAAGTTTCTTTGAGGCTCACAGTTTCAGGGGTCTCAGTCCATAGCTAGCCCCTCCATTTCTCTGGGCCCAAGGCAGGCAGAACATTATGGAGGAAGGATGTTGCCAAGGAAAGCAGTTCAGGACATGGCCTCAGGTAGTCAAGAGAGACAGCTCCACTCATCAGAGATAAAAGCATGAACCCTAAAGACAAGTCCCCAAGGACCTGCCTGCTCCAGCACACCCTACCTGCCTGGGTTACTACCCAGTTAAATCATTCAATGGGATTAATTCACTGATTAAATTAAGGCTCCCATAACCGAGTAATTTCACCTTTAAACTTTCTTGTATTGTCTGACACATGAACTTTTGAAAGACACCTCATGTCTAAACTATAATAGTAATGATGCTTCTTTCTTGGAACACAGTGGAAAATTTGGCAATTATCAAAAATGTCAGACTTTTGTAACTTAGTCATGTATTCAGTAATTAATCCTTGAAGTGCTTACTCCATGTCATGAACTGTGGGAGACACTGCAGTCATTCACCGTATTTTTGTACTGAAAAACAGAACTCAGATTTTTTATTTATAGAGTTGACAATTGTTATGGTTTAGTTATTAGGTGTGCCCCAAAAGCTAATGTGTGAGACAATGCAAGGAAGTTTAGAGGTGAAATGATTAGTTTATGAGAGCCTCAATCCAATAAGTGAATTCCTCTGATAGGATTAACTGAGAGGTAACTAAAGGCAGGTAGGGTGTGGCTGGAAGATATGGGTCCATGGGGACATGCCTATGGGGTTTATATTTTTTCTTGTTGAGAGAAGCTTTCTGTCTCTGCTTCCTAGTGTGATGTTCTGAGCTGCTCTCCTCTACCACACTCTTCAGCCAGGATGTTCTTTCTGCCTACTATGGACTGAGACCTCCAAAACCAGGAACTCCAAAATAAGCTTCTCCCAATTTTTTTTTTTTTGGTCAGGTGTGGTCACAGCAGTGAAAAAAGCTAACTAAAATAACAACCAAGAGGGTAAGAGATTCATAAAAATTTAAATGATAATAAATGCCATGAACACCCACAGTGAGTCCTAAGTAGATGTATAAAGTATGACTTAAACTCAGTTTCCATCACCCAAATTTCAGGAAATAAATATGGCTCGTGTAATGATTCTTAGAGGTTTATGGGACGGTCTATTCAAATCAAGCCCTATATAAGCTACCTCTCATGGGTTAGTAGGTCAACTTCTCCTGTTTCACCCTCATCTCTTGACATCAACAAGAAGCAATCACAGTGGAAATCACAAAAGATTGGCACATATCAGGCAACCATTGTGTGAGACTGACATTCTAAGAAAAAACAATTCAGGAACCAAAGGATTACCCACCTCTGGTGACACAGAATAAAAAGAAAAACAACTTAAGATAGCTCTTACAAATAGGTAGCTCAATAGCCTTCAGCAGCAGCACCTTTATCCTGAAATTTCCTTTGGCAGAAGTATTTACCAGCTGCACTTTGAATGACATCCCAACTAATGTAACAGGCTGTGTGCTGTATTGGATCTCTCTATGGACCCATGATTCTAGAAGGCCAAAGAACTGGCACGGAATTGAAAAAAATCTGGTCTCACTTACGTAGAAACTTCTTTTTAAAGTAACCTAAGACTTCTAGTGAGAAATCAGTCAGTGATTATTTCAAATAACTGTTTATAATAATCACTCCTTTTATATTGTTCAACACTGTGTAGCAGAGCTTTAGAGACAGATTTTAGCTCTGAAAGCCCCATTGCTTTTTTTTTTTTTTTTTTTGCCAGCTCTAATACTGGAAAGTTATTTCTCATCTGAGCAGTAGTTATTTTTTATGAATAAAATAGCAATAATCCCCAGCCCCTCAACATATTTAAAGAAATTGAGTATTAACAAAGCCCATTTTAAACTACTTTATTGAGGTGTTGTAAAAAGCTACAGAGACTTAATTAATGTAAGCAACTTGATGGATTTCTTGATGCTTGCCTGTGAAACTATCATCACGATCTATTCCATTAGACTCTCCACAGATTTGTTAACTATAGGTATTCTGCTGAACGATAGCTCTCCAGGACTTGCATACCTTGCATAACTGACAAGTTCCCTATGACTAAACTCCTCTGTTTCCACCACTCCTACCCTTGGAAACCACCATTCTACTCTCCACTTTTATGAGGTTGGCATGGAACAAGTACTGTCATGTAGTACTTGTCACAGTGCCTGGCTTATTTCACTTAGCATAATGTCCTCCAAGTTCATCCATGTTGTTTAAAATGCCAGGATTTCCTTCATTCAATAGTGAATACTATTCAGTATATATGAATATACTCCATTTTCTTTATCTCTTTGTCAATCAAGAGACATGTAATCTTTTTCTACATATTAGTTGTAGTGAACAGTGCTACAATGAACTTGGAATTATTGCTATTCTTCAAGATCCTGATTTCAATACCTTTGGACATATGCTCAAGAGTGGGATTGCTGGATCATACAGTAGCTCTATTTTTAATTTTGGAGAACTCTTCATATTGTTTTTCATAGTTGTGGCACCAATTTAAATTCATACAAATAGGATACAAAATTTCCCTTATATGTACATCCTCGCCTATGTTTATCTTTTCATTTTTTGGTCATAGCCATCTTAACATGAACACTTTTTTACGCCTCTTGGCTATGTTTTTTTTAGAAATGTCTATTCAATTCCTTTGTCCGTTTTAAAAGTAAGGAGATTTTTGGTTTTGTTTTATTTTGCTATTTATTTGTAGCAGTTGTTTATATATTTTAAATATTAACCCTTTATAAAATATGGTATATTAGTTTCCTTTCTGTCACTACAATAAAAACACCTGAAGCTGAGTAACATATAAAGAAAAGAAGTTTATGAATCTCCTAGTTCTGAAACTTCAGGAGTATTGGTCTAGCTTCTACCTGGCTCTGGAGAAGACCTTATTTGGTGGAAAGTTTTTAGGCCAAGGAATAACATTAGCAAATATAGTGTTGTATGCAACAGCATAATGCATGCAGCCAACAAAAACATAAAGTATACCTGGTAGGGAGATGGGACATAACAGCAAGGTGCACAGGGCATAGGACTTGAGGTCAAGAAGAATAGGTATAATGCAAAACTACAAAATTTTTTTCTAGAAAGATAATAAAGCCAGATTTACACTTGTATGTACCCAGATCATCAATACCAGAACCAAAACACATATTTCTTCAAAAAGTGAAGGTATGTTGAAATTTGCTCATTATTGTTGTAGTAACAAAGTGCAAGTTTTTTGAGCCAATTAACATCCCACTCAATAGTCTGGTTGATAATTAATCCAGTTTGGATATTTTATATAGAAAGGAATTTGATACAGGTAATGAATGAGACCTTTATTGATAATTTGCTTTATGATATGCCTTTCTAATTCAAAATGGAAGTCATCAGTATTATTCATCATTCAATTACTTTTTTACAGTGGTGAGGACCAAAATGTGCTCTCTTTTTTTCTTTTCAGTGCAGAAGATTGAACCCAGGGCCTTATGCCTGCTGGACAAGTATTTTATCATTGAGTTACATCCCCAAGCCCCTTCACTTACTTCTCAGTATGTTTTTCCAACTGAGAAAAAAAAGAGTAGACTCGCGTCTAAAATGAAATTTGCATAAGTCTGGACAAATCCTTGAGTGTGACATTATGAAAATGAAAGTCTACATGTGTCAAGATA